AGTAGTAGTAGTAGTATTTGTTCTTTGGGTTCCTTGTGGAACATAGGGCTTCAGTAGCACGTCTCCAGTACACTCTGGAATCTTTTGAACCTGGCTCCACGAAAGCCCACAAGCTCTCATTTCTTCCTCACACGATCGCCTCCATGTCACTCTCGGACGTCCAACTCCTCGCTTCCCATCGGGGTTCCACTCGAGGGCCTGGCGCGTGATGTCCCCAGTCGGCCTTCTCAGTGTATGCCCAATCCATCTCCACTTCCTTCTGCATATTTGTTGGGTAATAGGTTCTTGGTTGGTTCGTTGCCAACAGGAGTGAGTTCCTTGTTGCTTATTATTTCTGGCCATCTGATCTTCAGTGTCAGTATCGAGTGAGTGTAGGCAGTTGTTGATGAATGTCTGTAGTTTGTTGGAAATGCCTCTCGTAACGCGCCAAGTTTCTGAGCCATACAGAAGCACTGACTTGACGTTGGTGTTGAAAATCCGCATCGTGTTCACACTTTATGCTGAGTGCAGTACAGTGGATCTCCACACTGGTTTCAGTTTAATGAACGCCTGTCTTGCTTTTCCGATCCTGGCTGGCTTTGACGTCATCGTCTGTGCCGCCACCGCCTGCAGTTGAAACAGTGCTCCCTAGATAGGTGAAGGAGGCTACTTCCTTTAAGTTTCTCCCGTTCATGGTGATTGGAGTTTGTTGTTGTTGATGGCGTTGGTTGGGTATCATCATCACCTATCTTCTCTACGTTCACCTGAAGTCCCGTCTTCGCTGCCCTGCCTCTTCTGTCAACTTGTTCATCTTCAAGTTTGTGTGAGATCAGACACAAGTCGTCGGCGAAATCCAAGGCTTCTAGGTTCTTTTCCGCGGTCTAGGGTATCCCCATCTTCTCAAAGCTCTTCACTGTTTGTTGCATGATCCAGTCGACTACAATCACGAATATCATGGGTGGTAGTAGACAGCCTTGTTTTACTCCTGTCTCCACTTCAAAAGCATCATTGTGAATTACTTGGCATGTGGTGTCTTCATATAGTTGTTGAGTGAGATTGATAAAGGTTTGTGGTATTCCGTAGTGTTGAAGCAGTTGCCAAATTACTTCTCGGTCGACGCTATCAAAGGCCTTTTCAAAGTCGATGAAGTTGAGGTAGAGGGTTGACTACCATTCTATACTCTGTTCTATGTTGATGCATAGCGTAGCGTTGCAATTTGGTCCGCACATGATTTGTACTTCCTGAAGCCTGTCTGTTCCGGTCGTAGTTTTGAATCCAGGGCATCCTTTAATCTCTCCAGGATGATGCGGCTTAATATTTTGCTTACTCTAGGTGGACAGGAGGGTGATTCCACGCCAGTTCTTGCAAAGACTTAGATCTCCCTTATTTGGGAGTTTGACAAGGTAACCCTCCTTCCAATCACTAGCCAGGTACCTTAACTTCCTTCCAGACCTTCTTCAATAGTGGTGTGAGCATGTCCGCTGTTGTCCCTGCGTCTGTTCTCAGTGCTTCTGGTGGGATTCCATCTGGTCCTGCTGCTTTCCCACATTTCAGTAGCTTTATGGCGTTCAGGACTTCGACTTTTGTTGGAGGATTTGTGTTCACTTGTAGTTCTGTGACTCGGCTGGACGAAGTGCAGGTGGTGGTCGATTCAAGAGCTTCTTGAAGTGGTCAGCCCATCATTTCCTCTGTTTCTCTTCTTTGGTCATCATCTTTTATTGGTTTCGTCTGCGTTGATCTCTTCCCAGATAATAACCTGGTTATTTGATTCAATCTTGTCAGGTCTCTCCTACCTGCAGCCTGTTCTGCTTCACTTGCAAGTGTGTCGTGGAAGTGTCTTTCGTCTTTCTGCGCACTCTTCTTCACTTCTTTGTCCAGTGTTTTATACTCTGTACTCAGTTCCTCTTCTCGTTGTGCATCCTTGCACTGGTTCATCTTCTGCTTCACCATCCTCCTCTCCCTCCCTGCTCTATCAACTTCCATGTGTCCATCGAGATCCATTCCTTATCTTCTTTCTTCTTCCTTCCTAATACGGTTATGCAGGTTTCCTTCTACATCCCTTTCAAAGACGTCCAGTGTTCTTCCACACAGGTTTCTTCAGGGATGTTCCTCGATATCTCCCATTTCGCCTTGATGGCGTCCGTGAAGATGTCCTTTATAGATTTGTCCTTCAGTTTCTGTTTTGGGTGTTGAACTTGAACTGTGGTCTATCACCAGCTTCCTTGAAGGCTTTTAACTTGATTTGGAAGGTTCCTTGCACTAGATAGTAGTCTGAGCCTACATTTGCTCCTCTTCATGATCTTGTGTCCAGTAGGCTGCGTCTCTACTTTCTTCACATTGAAATGAAGTTGATCTGATTTTTAGTGTCTGGTGAAATCTATGTCGCTTTGTGGATATCCTTGTGCTTGAACACAGTGCCTTGAACCCCCTGTCGTTGAACGCGCAGAAGTCTGCAAACAGTTTTCCATTGTCATTCTTCCTGTGTTGTCTGCACATAGTTTGGCATTCATGTCGCCCATTATAATTTTGATGTCGTCATCTGGAGTGGGATCTTGTCTGTTACGGATTGCAGTTGTCTATAGAATTCTTCATTCTTTTGATCTGCATTATGTGTAGGTGCGTAGCGTGGGATTGGTTGTATGTTTGTAGCTGTCGTTTTTCGTTTGAATCTTGCCGACGTGATCCTGGAGGAGATCCTTCGATGCTCTTGGGGAAATCATGATTGCCACTCCAAAGCTTAGTGTGCTCGTGGTTGTCGTCTGGGTAACAATACTGGAGTAGATAATTGGCTCTCGAGTTAAGAGTTTGGGGAGTCCACTTCCATTCCACCTACTTTCGCAGATTCCCAGCACTTGATTGATATACCTCCTTTGCAATCTGGGCATGGGATATGTGTTTTACATGCCTTTGTATGCTTCGTGGCACAATGTGAGAGTGAAATAGGTTCAGGCTGGTGAAGGTCAGAATTTGTTAGACTAAAACGCAGCATCATTTTATGAAGTCTCTCACTGTTGCTATGAGCCTGTGGGGGGATATAAACCTTTACGATCGAAATCGGTGGCTGATGACTTTAGATGATATGACTTAGAATCATTCTTAGTGGCGCACACTATCTTCATCGTAATTGTCATGCCTATTTTTACTGTTCTCTTATTCCTCTTTCTTTTCTCATGACTTTCTTTCACTTCCAACTAATTTCTTACTTATTTCGTTTACTTTATCACACCCATCTTGGTGTGCTGAAATGAACTGTGTCAGCTTGAACTGCTGCTCCAAGCTGACACTAATGTGCTTAAAGCGGACGGATATTTCAACGTAGAAGGTTGCAGAAAGCTCATAGCAGTATATAGTGCATATATATATATATATATATATATATATATATATATATATATATATATATATATATATATATATATATATATATATATATATATACATCATATAAGCTTACGGTCCCTGATTTCCCTCTATCCGTTGAGAAAAGAAGGTTTAGGTTGCCAATTATAATCCAATTGTATTAATGTTTTATTAATTCTTTCTATATGAATATAATGTGTGACAGCCTGGTCCGTTACGCAGTAATGTCATATCCTACTGATGATTAGAATTATCCGATGTCACTCTTTGATTTGAATATTGTCTTAATGCCAGAAGGACAGTAGTAGTTAGTGTTGTATCTCACACGTGTATTACTGTCGTACATTTATTTTCTTACTTCTATCTGTCTTTTTTTATTTCGGTATTGAGTATAGATGAATACCTAATTTTAGTATAACCTATGATCCTGCAATAGAGTCCGAACGTTAAGTGACATTCATTTTATATGCTTTCGCAACTTCAGTATTTTTTATTCATCATTTACGACACAGTAATTTAGAATTATATGTTTATATGTTGCTGGAGGAAGAAGGAATCAGTTAGTCGCGGTATCAACGATTGAAATTTCATCACTTATATGACGGTTGCAATAAATGTATCAGTGAACTACAAAGAACGACTGGAGAAGCTGAACTTCTTTTTGTCTTATTCCAGACGGTGAATAGAGCTGTTCATGCTATATAGCATTTTAGGAGGTGATTCTGGACTGCATTTGTCTCCTCCTCTCCTTCACATTATATCAGAACTGTCAGAGGAAAAAGCAGCCGGCCAATATTAACAGGACGAAAATTATCGCCATAGAGTAGTAGTTGTCACATCGAGTTGTCAACTACCGAATCTGACTCTTAGTATTGGTGTAAACACCATCTATTGACTCGTTCAAAAGATGACTGGGCAGGCACAGAGATCTATCGGAAAATGTCTATTACCTCTCTATCTTGAATATACATATCTGAGTCTGGATCTATGCGTGGTCTCAACTAGGCTGTGACAAGACCTGATTTGTCATGTTAGTGTATATTTGTTATCGACTTATGGTAGGAATGAACTCTGTAGGTTTTTGAAATACTTTTAAAAATATATAAATATTTTGCAAAGTAGTTTCCTGGTAGTTTCAGTTCTATTACAGGTCAGGCTTATTCGGTCTCTCATCGTCGAGAAGACTTATTTTTAATTCAGGATAATAGTCAGTTTTCCTAATAGATTGTAATACTTTTTCAATTTTTCCATCAGTATCACTAGCATTTCCTCCTAGTTTTTTGACTTTTTCTTCTGTCGCGGTTCCAGATTAACCGTAGCATCAGATTTTATTGACCAGTCTGCCCTTTTTCTGTATGTTGTTTAATCAGTACACCTCCTGAGGCAAACGTTACACTAAATTGACTGCTGTTATTCTGAATTTCGTTAATGTTTGATTTTTTGTTCTCTGTTCAAGGAAAGGTTCTATTATGAAAGATGGATATTATTTGTATATTTTATACCACTGACATTATCTTTAATTACTGTCCTCTTTCAATACCGTACACCTGATTGTATATTTCTTAAATGATTTTTTAAATGGTATCTGTAACACATGCATGATTGTAGTTTGTTACCATTTTAATAATAACTAGACATTTATTTCCGTGTTTCCGTTTCAGGTATAAAATGTATTAGTTTGCCTCTGGATCGCTATTTAAAATGGGGAAGTGGTAGAAGTAAAACATTAACCATCAACTGTATACACGGAATAATGGCCACAGCTAAAGAAACTAATGGAGACTGGAAGACAGCTCTTATAGAAAATATACCTTCGCGGTTTTACATTTCACCGACCAAAACAAAATATTCGTTTGTCTATAAAAACTTCTAAAACCAGTTTTCTGGTGCGCTCAAATTTGTGTATTATTCAATGAAACAACATTTGAATTTTCTTGATTGTTATGATCAATTTTCCTCCATCGTCACGTCATTTGCTTCTGCGTGAGTTAGTGAGTGGAGAAGTGGTATAAACTTTTTAGGAATGTTTACTGAGTAGTGTATTCTGGTTGGTCATTTTTCGGTTGCGTACGTTGAATTAACTAACATGGGGTTTTCAGGACGTTACCGATACAACATCCTGATATATGCATCGCATTAACTCCTGATATTTACACTGTCTGACCCAGCTGGATCAGCAGTGTCGGGAACTGTAAACGGGTGATAGTGTATCTGGACGCGTATATCAATTTAGTGTCATGTTTCAGAGCTCGACAAACTGGTGAGTCCGACGTGATTAAACTCTCGCAAGTTTTACTGGTGGATATTATTGTTGTTTTCAATTGAGTACTGCTTCCACAGTCATTAGTAACTGTATGAATACGATATATATATATATATATATATATATATATATATATATATATATATATATATATATATATATATATCAAGTTCTTAAAACTTTTTTTTTTGCTGTACCGGTACTGATGTCCTTAAACTGTCATTATCAAGACTTTTCGAATGTAGGGTCCGTGGGTGCCATTAATCTTCCTATGCCGTGTTTTAAGTTCAATGACCCGCAATTGTGGTCTAGCCGTCTAGAACATTTCTTCATGGCCAATCATATAACTTCACAAACCCAAAGTTTGGATAAACAAGCTCTGTTTTGCCGGAAGAAGTGGCTGAACAAGTAAGGGAGACACTATTATAGCCCCATTCAGACACACCTTATGATGTTTTGAAGCAAGGAGTGCTGACAGCCACTTCGTTATCTGACCAGAAAGCTGTCAATCAACTGCTAAGTAGCGTATGCCCCGGTGACAAGACACCTTCACAACTTAAGCGACATATACAAAGTCTGCTGGAAGATAGGAACGTAGACAACCGTTTATTCTACCAGCTCTGGCTGCGGAGACTTCCTTCATGTATTCAGCAGATATTAGCTGTCGGAGATGCGGACATTGACATTGACAGGTTGGCTGACATCGGTGACCGTATGTACGAGAGGATGCCTAAACAGGTTCAAAGTAGATGCTTTAGAGAGGAAGATTGACATACTTACAGGACAACTGACGGCTTTGGACTTAAACCGACGGTCACCGAAGCTCTATAGAAGCAGATCTCGTAGTCATGATAAGACCACGAGTAGAATTGCGTCTAAAAGTATCACGTGCTAGTATCACAAGAAATTTGGCAGTAATGCACGTTGTTATTTGTTACCATGCGATTTTTAAACCTTTTCATTGGGAAACGGAGAGGCCGGCGATCAGTGACGATTGCTGTCGCCCGCATGCAACAATACAGTCATTTGTTTCGGGTGACGGACAGGAAAACCGGAGCGCAGTTTCTGGCTGACACTGCAGCAGAAGTGAGCGTAATCCCACCTACACTTTCCGAAAAACACAATCCCAACCTGACCTTGGTACTGCAAGCGGCAAATAGATCTGCCATTACTACATATGGAACCAGAATTTTGATCCTAGACACTGGCTTTAATATACCATTCCAGTGGGAATTCGTCATCGCTGATATCCTCGCCTATCATTGACATGGATTTCCTTCAACACTGCGAACTATTGGTCGACTCCAGTTGCTATAGACTAGTTAGCCGTAGTAGTGAGTTTTCTATCGCGGGTATTGTTACGTAGACAAAAACAATCAATCTAGTCGTAGCTCCAATAAACAGCACTTCCGAGTACGATGTACTTCTGCGAGAATTTCACGAGGTCACTCAAACGGATTACACACGTAGTCATCTCCAAAACACACGGTGACGCACCATATTCTTACGAAAGGTCCTCCAGTCACACCAAAACCTCGACGCTTAGACCCTAAGTTGGGAGTTATGCACCATTCCAAGAGCCCATAGTCGTCACCCCTGCATATGGTACCTAAAAAAACAAGGGAAATACGGCGTTGGGGTGATTATCGATCGTTGATAAGTATGCAATTCTTCACGTACATGATTTTGCGAACTCTATGACAAAAGTAAATATGTTTTCCAAGATTGATCTCGTGCGAGCTTACTACCACTTTCCTGTGGAACCCCATGATGTTCCTTAGACGGCCATCACTACCCCTTTCGGACAATTCGAATTTATTCGTATGCCGTTTGGTTTGACAAATGCTGCTCAAACACTCCAAAGACTTATAGATCAGGTACTTCATGGATTACCTTTCGTCAGTGCATACATAGATGACTTAATAGAGTAGCTAGCGCATCTGAAACAGAGCACCTGCAACATCTGAGGACGCTTTTCGAATGACTGCGTGAATATGGCATTACAATCAATCCTCAGAAGTGCGAATTCGGCAAAGAATCCCTACAGTTTTTGGTTCACACTGTTAATGCCAACGGTGTTAAACCAGTTACGCAAGAAGTAGATGCAATTCGAGAATATCTTGTTCCAGACTCGTTTCGAAAGCTGCGAAGATTTCTGGGGTTAATAAACTTCTATCGATGTTTCATACCTAAATGTGCTGAAGTAGCCCAACCGCAGACAGGTTTGTTGCAAGAACGAGCCAGAGTGTTTCACATGACCCAAGCGGCCCATGATTCAGAAGCACCACTAGCAATCATGACAGACGCTTCAAATGTTGCGGTAGGCGCAGTACTACAACAGTTTGTTCACGGTCAGTGGGAACCATTATCTTTCTTCTCGAAAAGACTTAATGCTTCTCAATCGCGATACAGTACATTCGGCAGAGAGTTACTGGCGATTTACTTATCTATCAAGCATTTTAAATATAAACTTGAAGGGTACGCATATATAGTATTTAGCGATCATAACCCACTCGCGAAAGCAATTGACGCGAAGCATGACAACAATTCGCCGCGAGAAATTCGACATTTAGAATTTATTTCACAATTCACTTCAGATATAAGGTATGTCAAAGGTAGCGAAAATGAGGCAGCTGATGCTTTGTCTCGTATGTACGTAAACGTCTTAGAACGTGACCATATTGACCTAGCAGAAATGGCAAAGTTGCAGACGATGGATGAGGACTTGAAACATTTGGAAAACAATGTGAACACCTCATTACGTCTTGAAGAAGTGACACTTGATGACTCTGTATCCATCACCTGTGATGTATCCAAGGGTAAACCACGACCGTTTGTGCCTTTATCAATGAGACGATTAGTCTTCTCTAAGATGCATGGCATTTCACATCCTGGTATTCGAGCTACGGTGAAGTTAATTACTGACCGATACGTCTGGCCAAAGATGAATCGAGATCTTCGACAGTGGTCCAGAGCTTGTTTAGCGTGCCAGCGATCGAAAGTGCAAAGACATATTCTTTCACCTACGGGAAGATTTTCCCACCGGATGGCAGATTTGACCATATACACGTTGACATCGTTGGACCACTACCTCCGTCAAATGGTTTTAGCTACATTTTAACATGTGTAGACCGATTCACGAGATGGCCAGTGGCAATACCTCTGCAGGATATATCTGCCGAAACAGTAGCGAGAAATATCATCCAACACTGGATTTCTAACTTTGGTGTCCCAAGTGTCATCACCACAGATAGAGGTGCGCAGTTCGAGAGTAGTCTATTTCAACAGTTAACTGAACTTCTCGGGATCAAGCGCATAAGAACCACTGCGTACCATCCTGCATCCAATGGTATTGTCGAAAGGTTCCATCGACAACTAAAAGCAGCACTGATGGCAGTAAAGACTGATGACAAGTGGAGTGACAAATTACCACTAGTACTCCTTGGTATACGTTCGAGTGTCAAGCAGGACATTGGCTGCTGTTCTTTTGAGTTAGTTTATGGAACTACTTTAAGATTGCCAGGAGAGTATTTTAACCCAGAAACAGACGTTCCACCGGACTTGACTAACTATGTACAACAACTACGGTGACACATGAGCACACTTCGACCTCAGTCCCCACGATACCGAGACAACCAAGTTTACGTACCTCAGTGCATCTCAAACTGCACTCACGTTTTTGTCCCACACGATGAAGTACGAAAACCCTTACAATCCCCGTATGAAGGACTTTTCAAGGTAAATAGTAAGTCAGACAAAGTTGTCACTGTCGAACGCTCGGGTAGACGAGAAAAGGTCAGCACTGACAGAATCAAGCCAGCGTTTGTGGAACCAGACGTCACGAATACCAAGTCTGAATCCACAGTGAAGCAACCGAAAGCCACCGTCAAAACGGAAACAACGGTATTGGAATCACCCAATTACTAGCGACGGCAACCGAACCACAAGATCCAGAAGAGTCCGTTGGCCACTACGTTAATTTCAGAAAATTTACTTTCAATAAAACTAATTCCCTAGTAACATTGTTACCGTTTTTTGTTCATTACCTTGTTGGAAGCATGACCACACGATTTTGTCAGACTTTTCCGCATGCACAAAAAGAATTTTTCCCTGGTACCACAGACTTCCGAATCTTTTTTCGCTTAACAATGTTCCGGGTAGTACGATTTTGATTATTTTTTTTATCTCCGGATATATTATTACTTTGGTAAAGTGATTTCAGTGTTCCGACTATCTTACACTTCATTTTTTTATAAACACTCTTCCAATCAGTTTTCGTCCTGATAATAGATATCCTTAACATTCCTTCTGTGCTTTGAATATCTTCAAAATGAATTTACCTTTCTCATAACATTTTATATCGAACATAGATATTCCCTCTTATATCTGTATTCTGGGGAGGGACTTATGTAGCATTTTATTTCATTGTATTGTGTTGATATGTGTAACAACTCATTGAACATTTGTTTAGTTGTACTGGTGAAAACACTCTTTTTGCTCGCTCGTTGACCAATACAACATCCTGATACATACTTCGCGTTAACTCCTCATATTTACCCCGTCTGACGCAGCTGGATCAGCAGTGTCGGGAACTGTAAACAGGTGATAGT